CACCCCGCCTGCTACCAGTCGCGGCCCACGCAGTGGTCACCGCGTCCGCGCTTGCGCCCCATCTCGCCCCGATGTCCGACCATGAAGATGGCCCTTCGGTCATGACCTTCAAGCCGAAGGCCGTCGGCCGCGGAGTTCGACGGCAACCTCAAAGACCCGCTGTGCTCTTGGCCAAGCCTGCCATGCCTGTGGCCAGGCCAGCCGACCCTCCAGCCAAGTCCAGCTTGCCGGTGCCCAACAGCCCCAGCGACGATGCCACCCCGGCTCTGACGGCCACCGTAACCACCATTCCCCCGCTGGGTGGCGTGACCTCCATGGGCAGGGTCACCACGCCGGCCATCCTTCCGGCTACTGTCACCCTGGGTGCTGTGACGACCGCCACGCCAATTGCCACGCCCATGGCTAAGTCTGTTGCCACGCCGGTTGCCACGCCGGTTGCCACGCCGGTTGCCACGCCGGTTGCCACGCCGATTGCTGCTCCGACTGTCCGCATTGCCTCACCACGGCCAGCGGCCGGTGGTTTCAAGATCGGCACCCCGATGCGCATTGGCACCCCGATCCCCCCGGCCGCCTCTGCGGCTGGCTCGGTCATCATGGCCGCCGCCGAGGCCGGTGCCCCTCCCGCCCGCACGGCCAGCACCACCATCCAGCCGCCGACAGCACGCGTTACCAAACGCGCGGCCTCCTCCACACCGGACACCTCACCAGACGCCTCGCCGGATCTGCAAGCCGGATCCGATGATGCTCCGCGCCCCGTGCGCAAGCGGCGGCCCACCTCCGCCACAACCGGCGCCGGGTCGCCCTCCGCCCCGCGCCGGGCAGCGGCCGGGGCCTCCACTGCCCGGCCCACCATCGCCATGCTTATGCGCCGCACGCATACCGGCATTCCCAGCGCATCGAGCGTCGCCCCCCCGGGGGGCCACCCCCCCCCCCCGTATGCGGGGGGCCCCTCTGGCCCCCCCCCCCCCCCCCGCTGGCGGCCCCCCATTGGCCGTGCAGTTGCTTGCCCTTGCTGACTCCTGTTTCTGTTTGTCGACTTTCTGTCTGCCCCCCCCCCCCCCCTCGCTCTCCACTCCCCTCCCCTGGCTCGGATCGTCTCCCGGGTGTCAGATGCGTGAGCATGAGGCCCGGTCGGCTCAAATCAACAGTCTCTCTCCCAGCCCCGAGCTCGGGACATCGCCCTCGCCCGTGATGTCCCCCTTGTCGGGCCTGTTTGGCGGCGGTGATACCAGCTCCTCGGCCGAGTCTCCCCTGAGCAGTCCCCTGCTGGGGGGCATGAGCTTCGACCACGAGGGCAATGTCAAGCCCGAGCTGAAGGGCTCCCCCATGGCTGCGGGGGCCTCTCTCGCCGCTCCCTCTTCACAGCCGCTTGCCCCCTCGGCCTTTGCCGGCGGCCCGGCTCTCTCGGCGCCTGGTTTGCTGTCGCAACCGATGGTGGCGGACGACGCGGCGCCGGTCCCACAGATCCGCATTGTCGACGGGCAAATTGTCATCGATGAGTCTTCCCTGAGCTTCACCCCGGAAACTGTACGCCATGCGCACTCACATTTGTGCCCTCGCCCTCGCTGGGCATTTCCCCCGGTCCTCCGACTCCGCGCCGTCTGCTCCTTTTCACCCGCGCCATCGTCACCGCCCCCCATCTGACCACCTCCCTGTCCTTCTGTTGGCCGGAATGACTACCAGGTCGGGGAATTTGCCAACCCCCACGGCGACCAGCCGCGCGTGGTCCAAATGCTTGATGACCACGACATGATGGGCGGCGACTTGGACGGCGGATCCCGCGTGACGGCGGCCTCCTTCACCAAGTATGCCCCCACCGACCGCTGGAGCCCCCAGGAGACGGCCCTCTTCTTTGAGGTACGCATCTGCCCCACCTGTGCATATGGATCCAGTGGTGGTGGAAGTGGGGGGGGGTGGGGGGGGGGGGGGGGGGGGGCGAGCATACATGCATGGCTTTCCCTTTTTGCTCCGGGTCCTCGCGCACAAGAGGCGACATCCGGGGAGGGGGATGGGGCAGCAAGCAGGGCACGGGCTGCCATCATTGCCATCGCCGCAGCGGCGGCCGCGCACCGGTCCTCGGCTCCGCGTACTGGCCATGCACGCTCGGAACCCATCACTGACCCATGCGCGTGCATGTTTTTTTTTATCTCCTCCCCTCCTCCATGCAGGGTCTCCGCTTCTTCGGCACCGACTTTGTCCTGATTTCTTGCCTCTTCACCGACCGCAATCGGAGGCAAATCCGCAACAAGTACAAGCGCGAGGAGAAGCAATCGCCACACTTGGTGAATGCGGTCATCTCCGGATCCGATCTGCCGGAGATCCCCCTGTTGGAGTATCCTCCGCTGCCAGGGACGGTGGCCATTGCGTCGGCGACGCCAGTCTCCACTCAGGAAGGCACGGACGCTTCGCCCGCAGCGGCTATCCCCCAGTTGTCGGCTGCTGAGCGCATGGGCCGGCTGACGCGCATCGCTCGCGGGGAACTCCCCCGCATGGGCACCGACGGCACATGGGTCATGTCAAATATGTCCATCTCCTCGATATCCAACCACCAAGCGGGGGGCTCCTCTCGCGCGGGGAGTCCCTCGCCTGATGAGTCGAGCGAGTCGATGCCCCGGCCGGGTGCGCCAATGGTGTCCGTGTCCACGGCTCCGGCGCCGACACCGCCGGCGACTCCGCCCACCCCGCCAGAGTTGGCCATCGCCGGCACCATTTTGCCCGTCTAGAGCACCCTTTTTGTTTCTCCGCCCCTTTCTCTGCCTCTCTCCCGCTGTCCGCCGGCCGTGCCGCGCGTGTCCCTTCCCTGTTTGCCTCACCGATCTGGGAAGGGGGCGCACAGACACTGAGCTCTCCCTGCACACAAGCATGCTCATCTGACGTGCGGCGGCAGCAGCGCGTGGCCCTCTCTTTCGCCCTTTCCCCCCCCCCCCCCCCCCCCCCTATGAAAGCCGCCCCGTTTTCCCCGGCTAGGCCGTGCTGCTTAGGTGATCCCCCTCTTGTGGGGGAAAAATAAACCTCCCTTTCTATCGCATGCACACACACACACACACACACATGACGGGACAATAGGCAAAGATGACAGGCACACTGGCAAACACAGGGGGGCGGGAGGGGGGCGTGTTTTCTGGACCGGGGAATACCGGCCACAGGGCCAGGCTCAGGACTCGCTCGGCTGGGCAGCTTTCTTGGCCGGCGGGCCGGCACCAGCCGAGCCGGAAGCCGGACGCGGGCGCTTGGCTGTCCGCATGTTGGGGTTTCCCGTCTCCAGGATGTACCTCATGCGGCCGTCCAGCTCCTTGAAGATCCTCTCGTCGGTGGGTCGGGTTTGGTCGACCTCTCTCCGAAGGAGGTCGGCCGTCTGCGTGAGGGAGGCCATGGCCTCCTTGCGGCGCTCCTTGGTGACAACCTGCTGGGCCTTGAGTGAGGAGGGCGGCAGCATGAGGATGACATTGCTGTAGAAGTTCAGGAAGGGAGCCTCCTGCATGTGGATGCGGGCCACTTGGTGCATGACCGCGAAGGCGATTTGCGCCGGCGTATGCGTGAGGCAGGCATCCGAGTGGAAGTATGTGGGCAGGTGTCTGTGCGAACACGAGTCAGGAGGACCAGGAGGACCAGGAAGACCAGGAAGACCAGGAAGACCAGGAAGGCCAGGAAGGCCAGGAAGGCCAGGAAGGCCAGGAAGACCGAGAGCAGGTTAGACGTGAAAGAGAGAGAGAGAGAGAGAGAGAGAGAGACAACTACCACCGGCACCGGTACAGGAGCGGCGAGCAGATGGATGGATGGATGGCGAAGATGCACGCCGACAGGATAATGCGCCACATACCGGTTCATTGCATCGTCATACATGTTCAAGGTCATGGCTTTGCTGAAGACGCGGCGCTCGGAACTGGCGGCCGCCGCCGCGCCGCCTGTCGTCCCGGGGAGGACCGCTGACCGCGGGGCCCCTTCATTGCGCACCGCATACCGAACCATGGCCAGGTAGATGCCAGTGACCGCGTCGTGCGGCAGGGGAATGTCCAGGTCGAAAGTCACGCCATTCAGCAGAAGAGCCTCGTTCCGGGTGAGACCCTCGGCGAAGGTGGCCGGGAGGCGAAGCTGCTCCAGAAAATACTCAAATGGCCGGATCCCAGCCCCGGCGGCAACAGCGACCTCCAGTTTGTACGCCAGGTAGAGACCTGTCAAGCTGGGTTGAGAGGCATCAACATATGGGAAGCATGGTGAGGGGAAGAGAGAGAGAGAGAGAGAGAGCGCGTAGAGAGGGGGAGGCGGAAGAAGGAAGGCGCAAACGCACAGCATCAACCGCACGGGATGCTCCATGATTGATTGACGGAGGTAGAAGCGCCGAAGGAGAACCATGCACACGTAGCCCACCGACGAGGGGAGGGCCATGCGATCGACCATGCGCCATAAATCCATCCGAAGGAGAGTATTCAATACGATCAGCTCCTCTTCCGGGGAGAGAAATCGGTCGAGCTTCGGCGACATGGGGTCCACCTCGGCGTCGGCGGACGAGAGGGGCGTCGAGGAGAAGGCCTGGGCCCCATGGCGCGCCAGCAGGCGCCGTCGGGCGTCAAGGTTACTGGCTGCCCGCAGACGGGTCAGCGTCTCCGGGCGGAAGTACCAGCGCTGGAAGAAGCTCGACTGCTCGAAGAGGCTGACCCCGGCCGGGGGGGCCGAGGGACGCCCCCCGGCAGCGGGGGCCATCGGCGGCGGGGCGGACATGTCTAAGCGCGGTACGACAGCCAGTGGCGGCCGGCAACTGGAGGAGGCGGGCGAGCGGGCGGGCGGGCGGGAAGGGAAGGGAAGGGAGGGGAGGGGAGGGGAGGGGGAGGAGCAGGCAAGCAGCAAAAGCGCAGGGGGGGGGGCAGAGATCAGAGAGGGGCGAGGGGAGGGGAGGGGGGAAGGTGCTGTTTGAGATTGCTAGCCTGCATTCTGGCTCATGGAAGGGCGTGTTGCCTTTTCTCCCGGGCTGTCTCCCTGCCTCTTCCTCTCGCCTGGTCCGGGGCGGGAAGGGCGCGCGGGTGGGCACAATCGGCTCAGGGCAAGGTACCCACGGATGGCATATTCTGGTGGAGCGCCGGGATCTGTGTGGCTGGGCCTGCTTCTCGCTTGTGGCAAGCTCCATGCATCCCCCCTCGTATTCCCCCGAACCGGCCCTCCCCTTGGTTCGGTGCTCGGTCACCTTTGGCCCTTCCAATGTCTGTGTCTCTCCCGCATTCGCGAGCACACACACACATACACATTTTTTTTTCTCTCTGTCCCCCCTGCAACCACCTCCGCCTTGCCTCGGGTGTGGGGGAACAACAGCGCGAGCAAGCCCGCGGCGAAGGCACGCGCAACCAGGGGCAGGGGAAATAGGAAGAAAGCAGGACAGCGTGTGTGCGGATGGGGGGGGGGGGGGAGGGGTGATTTGCTTTTTTTATTGATATTTTTGTCGGCAACACGCGCTCTCGCGCGCCGTGCAAAAGAGAGGGGGGCGCGCCGTGAGATGTGTGCTTTCGGAGTACTGTGCTGCTGTGCTACTGTGGCTGTGGCTTTGCTACGGGTGCGCCTTGCCTCGCATGTGGTCACAAAATATCCCACCCATGCTTTCGCCCTTGTCCGGCGCCTCGCCGGGAGGCGACTGGACAGGAGGCGGTAGCAGGAGGGAGAAAGAGAGGACATGGATGCCACGGTTGTGGGTAAGCATGCGCGCGCGCGCGCGCGCGCGTGCACCAAAGCAGCGCGTAAAACGGCACTTTCGGATTGGTTTTTTCTTGTTTTGAAGCGGGGTGAGAGAACGGTCACGCATGCGGGAACACAGCCGCCCGATCGCCCCTCTTCTCTCGCTCTCGCTGAACGCCCTACTCCGCTGCTCGCGCCTGGCGTCCCTCGTGACCTCCTCCCTGGGAAGAGGCGCGACAGGGCCAGGGGTGGGGGGGGGGGACCACGGTGTGACCAGGTCATTGGACAAGAGGCAGAGCGCACGGACTTGTGGCTAGTCTCCGTCTCTTGAGAGGGGGGAGAGGGGGAGAGAGAGAGAGAGAGAGAGGGAGGGAGAGAAGAAGGAAGTAGTCGGCTGGTTCAGACGGCGCGCGCGTGCCGCTCAATCTCGATCAAGTTCTGTGTTGAGCGAGGGGGGGGCACACACAGTGAAGGAACAGAAGGAGAGGACTTTGGTGGGGAGTAGGCGGAAGGGGGATGGGCGTGGGGAGGCCGATGGTTTGCAGGGGGAGGCGCGCGCGGGGTGGGCATGGAGCAGGCACGAGGATTGAGAGGCGAAATAGTGGAAGGGGGGGAGGGGGGATGACCGGTGATGAAGAATGGCAATGGTCATATGTCCCCCTCTCCATGCTTTCGTCCCATACCACCTCGATGGGTTTTTGCGCCGACATCCCCCATTGCATGATCTCTCTTTCCCACTTTGGACAAGACCATCCGAGGGAGAGGGATATGCTGGGAGACGTGGCATGGCTGCTGTGACGCCCCAGATGACTGGACATGGAGCGCCACAGCCTCCGGCCGGGCGCGCCGCCAGCCCTGTGTGTGCGTGGTGTGTGTGTGTGTGTGTGTGTGTGTGCAGTGGAGGGGGTGGAGGGGGCTTTGCGTGCACCCATGTCCACCGTCAGTTGTGTTTGAAGAGTGTCGCTACCCATGTGGATATCGATGTGTGGATGCCGATGTCGATGTCGATGTGCGTGTGTGGGAGGGGGGGGGGAGGGGGGATGTGCGTGGTGCCTGCACCGTGCGCAGGCGCGCGGATGCGCGCCACAGGAAGGAAGGCCGCTAGCAGGCACTTACTTCTTGGGAACGCGCGCCTGGATCGGCTCGCCAATGCCCTTGCCGCGGAGTTTCACGCCAAGGACGCGCTCCATTTTGGAGAGGACCTGCTGGTTGGGAATGGCCCGGCCATTCTCATATTCGGAGACCACGCTCGGAAGCTCGAAGATCTTGCTGGCAAACTCCTTCTGCGTGAGGCCCTTCTCGGTGCGCGCACGCGCGATGGTCCGGCTGACCTCGACAGAGACGCGCCGGTCTGCGCATTGGTGACAGAGGGCGAGAGAGGCGGCAAATGTGAGTGGCCGGGGACGGGGGCAGGAACGGGGGCAGGGGGCGGGAGGCGTACGCTGGAGCTCCTCGGTTTCACGGTCGAGACGAGCGGCATTCAGGTCGGTGGTGCGACGGTTGCCGGGGGCGTGGGCTAGGAGGGGAAAGAGGAAAGGAGAGAAAGAGAAAGAGAGAGAGAGAGAAAGAGAGAGGGAGAGAGATGTCAGCGTGGGGAGTGGTGTGAGCGAAGAAAGGAGCGCAAAAGGAGAACAGAGGGAAAGGGGAGGGGGGGGGGGCTGAGCGACGCACGGCGACGCTCGGTCTGGATATTGGCATTCAGACGTCGGGCTCTATTCAGGTCAGCCTCGGTACGCAGCTGACCGGTGTTGCGGCTGGCGGTACTACCACCAGGGCGGCGAATATAAGTGACGGTATCCCACTCGTCCATGGCGGCTGTTGGTGTTGAGGGGCGGCAGGTGCAAGGCGGGGCGGGGCGGGGCAGGCTAAGTGGAAGGGGCGAAAGGGGAGGGAAAGCCGGCTTTGATGGGTGACCAGGACCGGGGTGCTTGGAGAGGGGGGGAAGGGGGGAAGGGAGGGTTCAGAAGGGAGATGGGTGCCTCGGGTGTCGGGGCCCCGAAGACGCGGGAGCATGGCGCCTCTTTTGCGTGTAGTGGCCCAGAGAGAGAGAGAGAGAGAGAGAGAGAGAGAGAGAGAGAGAGAGAGAGAGAGAGAGAGAGAGGGCGGTCCTGGACTGGCGCCAGGGCGTTGCCGTGGACAAAACGCCACCCAGAGGCAAAAGCGGTCAACACGCAAAGAAAGTGCCCGAGCGCCCGGCCGGACGCGCCCGAACACCACCCGAGCAGGGGAGCACCAAGGCGGGTCCATGGTGTGGTGTACGCACACACACACACACACATACACACACGCACACGCACACGCACAAACATATGCGTGCCGGCACACCCCAGGCCATGCATGGGAAAGATCCCGGACACGGCTGCCTGGCCCAGCCAACCAGGCAGCCAGCCCACCCGGGGGCGACGAGGCCCGGGCCCAGGACGGACCAGCTGGAGCCCGGCATGCTGGCGCGGAGAACACACCCTAGCTCCGCCCGGGGGGGGGGGGGGGGGGGGGGGGGGGGGCCGGACGACCCGAGCCCAGCCCCGGGGGGCGTAGACCGGGAGAAGTGGCCACCGGGCGGGACCGACGTCGCGGCCCTGGTTCCGGCGCGCCGGTGCCGGGCGTTCTTTCCCCATCGGTCCGGTCCCCCGTCCCCCCTTTCTCCGCCCCCTCACCCGCGGCGGGAGCATTGCGTCGCAGGGCTGTGTCCCTGGCCTGCGTGTCTGAGATCCGCCCCCCGCCCGTCCCCTGCCGCCCGGCGCCCCCCCCCCCCCCCCGGGGCGCCTGGCGGGGAAATCGCCCAACGAGATGCGCCGTTGGCCGCGGCGACCCCGACGCTGGCGCGAGGGCCGGCCGTCCATGCGGGGCAAATCCCAATGATCGGCGTACCGGCCGGGCGGGAGGCGGGGCGAAAATGCGGGATTTGGGCCATCCCCGGGGGCGAATGCCAACGGAGGCGGGAAACACGTTTTCACATGCGCGATGCGCCCACCCCCCCCCCCCATCTGGTGCATGTGCCCGGCGCCTAGGAGCGTGTGTACGGCGTCGCACACGCGCGCCCACTCTTGCTCCGGAATCGACGCAACATCGAGGCGAGGCACCGACCGGGGGGGCCGGGGGGGGGGGGGGGGCAGGGGCGTTGCCTGGAATTCACACCGGGCCAGGGGAAGATAAGAGCCCACCGTGCCGCCGAGGGAGCTAGACGGCGTGCCCAGGCCTTCGAGCACGGCTGCGTGCGGGTGCGGGTGCGGGCACGGGGGGAGAGCGCTGGCGCGCCATGCGCCCTGCTCGTGCCCCACCCGTCGGCGGCGGCGGCGGCGGCGGCGGCGGCGGCGGCGGCGATGGCGCACCCGGGTGCATGCGCATGCCACCGCGGGAATACTGGGGAAAACATGTGGGACGTGGTCCGGCACCTGGGCCGCCTCCGGGCTGGTGTCTCGTCCGGGGCCGGCGCCAGGCCCACCACCCCCATGGGCCAACAGACGAGGACCAGGGGCCACATCCTTCTTGTCTGCCGGCTCGCGCCGTCCTCCTTCACCTGGGCGGCGGAACAAATATATGTGTAATAAATCCCCTTTTTCATGCGGATGAGGCACAAAATGGGAAAGCGCTGGAACTGCGGCCCCCCCTCCCTCCCCGGCCCCCCCCCTCCCACATTCAATATTGGCGGCCTCTGGGGCGCCCTTGTGAGGGAGTGCGCCACCTCTGGGCGAACTGCCGGCCTGGCGCACTCGTCCAGCTTGGTGTCGTTTAACCACAGCCCGCTGCCCCGAACAGGGGGGAAGGCGGTAGCCGGGGGAGGGACCGACCGTACGCACCTCCCTCCTCGCTCGCCTGCTCGCTCGCGGCAGCCACCCATGTCCAGGTCTTCCCTTGCTTGCGCCCCTTCCTCCTGGTATCCCTGCACCGCGTTCCCGGCCACCAGGGCCGGGGACCGTGTCGGAGTCTCGGTCGAGGCAGGTGCGGGGGC